TATTTCGTATAAGAACTGAGTTAAAATTTTAGAGTTATGTGAAAATTGTAAACAAATGTTCTGCCTAAAAATATGGTAGATTTTAAGCCATGTGTGGTAGATGAGGTAGACAACCAAATTTTAAAAAATTTGTGGTAGATCTACCATACAATAATGCTTGAAATACAATACCGGCGAATGGCTAACTTCTCCGATGCTGTCGTTCACCGTTCGCCCCGTTATTTTGCCTACTTAAAAAGAATTAGAGTGGAAGCGAAAACAGCTGATACCATTTCGTCGCCTTTCTAATTTGGGTGACCATATTTAGAAAAAAACTACACCATATTTAGAAATGAGGAAATAATAACAAATGTAAATGTAAAACAAAGAGAGATTATTATAAATTATTTTATTCAACAATTTTTATTGAGCTTGAGGCCGTTTTTCATGAAAAACTTATTGTGGAAAAGCAACAATAATTTGAAAAAATGGTAGAAGTGATAGCTATTTCGGAAATCACCACATTTTCTCATCAGACTTCGACGATCCCACTGACTCAGCCAGTTGCCTACGCACTGTGCTAAGTTCACCTTGTGAATTCTTGTTGCTTTTTCCACTATTTCATTTGTTAAGCCAACTACAATCAAGCGGAGCTATTCCGCTGCAATTCACACTTGATCATGTGGTTGGACCAACAACCAACTACAATCAAGCGCAGCTATTCCGCTGCAATTCACACTTGATCATGTGGTTGTTGGTCAATTTTGAATGAAGTGGGAGGTAGGCGTGGTTATTAAGTTTAGTTAAGATATCTTAATTTTTACTCCAGTTATCGTGTGCACAGACAGTCATCGCTTCATCGATTTATTTTTTCCTTCTGAGCATTTATACATACAAAAATAAGAAAAGCGTAAGAACGAGAGAGAGCTGTTAGTTTCCGCTGGTTTCTTGGGGTTAATAAACGCTTTCCAGCAGAAACTAGTGATAATTATCTGTAAAGAAACCAAGCTAATGCTTGCTGCCAAATTTTTGGCAAGCCCTGCCGGATAAAAAAATGTTTATTCACCTCATAGCTGTCAAAAATTCACTGCCCAGATTACTTTTCTATCAATTGGCACATCGCTACTAATAGCAGAATAGCAATTACGCGTCCCGTCAGTCGCGAGTTTAACAGATGAGTAGATATACATGTAAATATCTAGATTGTTAAATAAACGCTCAAAATGACTGTTACATTTCATCTTACATTGACATACTGATATATTCCATGAACAATCTTCCGCTGAATCAGATGAGCACGGCGAGCGCTTTCATCAATTCGCAGCTAGACTTGAAAATTGGTATAGTGGAAAGAAGCTTGATGCCCTTTCAGGAGACATTTGTTGGAAACTTCAAGAAGCGGATTCAGAAGATGAAATTTGAAAAGAAATGGCAATTTTGGCGAACAAATATTGTTATGTATTACAAAAAAAAGTAAAATAAATTGGTTTTTTACAGAAATTCAATGAAGAGAATTCACTTACGTTCGAAAAACTAAGCGAAATCGAAGAATACGTTGAAATTTTCGCCAATAAATCACAATATATAGGAACAAAGTCTTTTTTTGTTGAATTAATAATAACCGATTGGCGCTGTGATATATGATGTTAGTGTTTAGCCGAGCTTCTCCTCCGATTTGTGGCGCCCGCCTTGAGATCGCCACATAAAGGGGAGGGACCTACAGTTTTACGCCCATTCCGAACGGCGATTGTATTTTTATGAGAAACTGTTTCTCATGCCAGAAATACACTTGGGGGCTTGCCATTGCCGAGGGGCGACCTCTATTATAAAAACGTTTTTGTTTCTTATTTGTTGACGTTGGGTTGAACAGGGCTTGAGCCCAGACCCTTCGGAATGGTAGCGCGCACTGTTAAGCAATACACCACAGCGGCCGCTATTTGTGCTGGATTATCTTCTAGTAATTTTATTCTTAAAGAAACAATAGGTATTGAATTGATTTACATTGAAAACAAATGATTGAATTACCCACATTGAAAAAATTAAGAAGAATGTGAAAAGTACAGTCAGTCAATAAAGTTTAGGTACAGCAATTTTTTTACAATACGAGCAACTATTTTTTAAATATTTTATTTTTCGCTCATTCTTTAAGGTTAATTCTACAACAAAAACTTTTTGCATAAGGTTTGGAACTCTGATTTTTGAGGTTTTTGTTGTAGAATTAACAATATTTGTATAAAAAATTAGCGAAAAATAAAATACTTAAAAAATAGTTGCCGGTATTGTATAAAATTCACTGTACCTAAACTTTTGACTGAGTGTATGTGTGTATCAGTAAAAAATTTATATCATAGTTAAACAAATATTCCATATTTGTGCTTAAATATCTTGCTTTAAGTATAATTTTTATAAAACAACTAGCAGACCCGTCGAACTTCGTCCTGCCCAAAATAAATTTTTTGTATTCAAACATTTTGGTCCAAGATTTTCACCAAGAGTTCACGTTCATGATTTTTAGTGACGCATTTGTCTTCTAATATTACGGTTTGGTGGTTGTCAGAAGGCATATTTGCCGTCTTAAATAACTTAGCAAAACTGTACATGCATACAAAGATACGTAATAGTTTCAGTGCGTTTGAAAGGCGCCACGTCCCCTTTTCAAATTTTCTCTAAGAGCATGGGATTTATTTCATATATCTCTATACCATTTTCGAGTAATCTACCATGGGAGGTGCCACGTCCCCTTTTCCAATAGCCCCAACTTTTCTTCATGACCAGTCGCGTTTTATACATATATCTTGCACATACCAAGTTCCAGTACTCTTCCATGAACACATCCAGAGATATGCAGTATGAAAAATTCGATGTGTATGGGAGGTGCCACGCCTCCTTTTCCGATAACCACAATTTATCTCCATGAGTATGCGATTGCTTTCATATATCTCCATACCAAGTTCGAGACCTCTTCCATGAACATTTTCCGGGATATGCAGTATGAAAAATTCGGTTTGTTTGGGAGGTGCCCGCCCCTGCACCTAGCGGTATGAAATATGCTTTACATCCGATTCCCATACCTACCATATATAACACAAAAATTTCATAAAGATCGGTCGAGCCGTGTAGGAAGAGTTCGATTTTTATATATTAGATAAGCATGATGCGAGAACATAGAAAAAATTTGGATGAAAAAAAAACAAAAATTTCATTGTAATCGGTTAAGCGGTTTCGAAGATTAGCGTAAACGAACACAGTGACACGGGATTTTTATATATTAAGATACTCCTAGCACCTACCATAGATACGTTTGCGTACCAAATTTCAATTTAATTTGACTTATGGTTTTGAAATTATAGCTGATAAAATTTTCCATGCCTATGGGATGTGCCACGCCTCCTTTTACAACCCCATTTATGTATAAGCACCTACCGTTGATATATCTGCATACCAAATTTCAAGTTCGTGGGACTTATAGTACCGACGTTACAGCTGATATAAAATTCCATGCCTATTGGATGTGGCACGCCCCCTTTTCCAAACTCATTTATATATACGCCAATATAAGTACCTACCATTAAAATGGCTGCGTAAGAAATTTCAAGTTCAAGCGACTTATAGTTCCGGAGTTATAGCTGATAAAACATTCCAGGTCCATGGGACGTGCCTACTATAAGCACCTGCTACAGATACGTCTGCGTACCAAATTTCAATTTCACGTGACATATGATTCCGAATTTTCCACGTCTATGGGATGTGCCACGCCTCCTTTTGCAAACTCATTTATATATACCTTACTGTAAGCACCTACCATAGTTATATCTGTATACCAAATTTAAAGTTCATGTGGCTTATAGTCCGGAGTTATAGCTGATAAAATATTCCTATGGGATGTGCCACGCCCACTTTTACAAACTCATTTATATATACCCTAATATATGCACCTACCATATGTGTGACTGAATAACAAATTTCAAGTTCATATGACTTATAGTTTCGGATTTATAGCTGATAAAATATTCCATGCCTATTGGATGTGCCACGCCCACTTCTACAAACTCATTTATTTATATGGTAAGCACCTACCATATATATGGCTGTATACCAAATTTCAAGTTCATGTGACTTATAGTTCCGAAGTTATGATTGGTAACAAATTTCACGCCTATAGGATGTGCCACGCCTACTTTTACAAAGTCATTTATATATACTCTACTGTAAGCACCTACCATATATATGACTGCGTACCAAATTTCAAGTTCATGTGACTTATAGTTCGGAAGTTATGGCTGATTAAAAGTTTCCCCCTATGGCAGGTGCCACGCCCCCTTGTCGATTCCACGCCCCCTTGTCGATTCCCACACCGGACACATACGTACATACATACATACTTCCACAAATATATAGTAGATATATCCTTCTCTTTGCGTAAAATAATTTTTTGGGATGTCTCGGCCACAGGGCCACCTATCGTGTAAGTTTCAAGTCCAAATATTTCTTTTCAATTGGCTAAATTTTTTTCTAAATATGAGCCAAATTAGCAAGTAAATGTAATTTTTAAGAATATTCTGACCCCAGCGCCGCCTAGCGAGCAAATTTTTTATAGAAATATTTCTTTTCAAGGTAGTGATATATGTTCCAAATATGAACCAAATCGATCCAGCCGTTTAGTAGTTTAGTGACATTCAATGTACAGAAAACTGTATGAAATTGTGAAATCGTGACTTCTCAGCAATCTTCATTTTTCGGCAACAACAACAAAAAGTTTCAAATTTTTTTAAATCAAAAAACCTTCTACACAGAAGGTCCAAAATAGCACTTTTTAAAGAATTGAAATCGGTTCATCCGTTTGGTCAGGCATCGCGGTCATAAGAAAAACATTTCATTTTTATATATATAGATAGATATTGGCTCAACTTGCGCCGACATCAAATCCGTACCTTTTGCGAGGTACATATGTTTCCTCTCTGTTGATTTTTTGAACTAGTACAGTGTAATCTTTATTCTTAGGTTTTGTTTCAAAAACTTACCGCAAATCCAGGATAAAAGTGAGTGTTTTTCCGTCAACCACCAGAGCACGTGGTTTCAGCCGAGTATTATAGGATGACTTGCTGTTGTCCAACTCGGCTAAGTAAACATTAATTGCACTCTCGGCAGCATCGCGGGAACGTGCCGTTAGACTAAATATATTGGAGTAAAATTATATCCCTTTGACTTGAATTGAAAGATATCAGAAGTATAGAAATATAGCATTCGCACATTTATTTGACGCAAGCGCAATGCAGTGTAAAGTAAGTTCAAATTTGTAAGTTCTACATGCATCCCTGATAAATTTTGTTTATTTCTACCAGAACATTTTAAAAAGTTCCAAAAGATCATATTACCAAAGATTTTTATCTTGTACAATGAAAAGACACACAACACGAAAGTGGACCCTGCGATTATTTTACCACGTTTGTTTTAACCAAGAGCTCGGTAAAAGGCTCGATTGTTCAATTAAGCAAGCCCCGGTTAATTGGCTCCGCGTATAATTCTACAAAATAACTTGTGCGATCTTCAATCTCAATTAAACGGGCTTTGCTATCGTAGAAATTAAAAATTCTTCGCGATGTTGTCTTTCGGAGCTTTTGAACAAGTTCCCGTAGATTTAAATAAAGTTTAAGCGTGTTGCAAATAGAAATTGCCAAACTTGAAATATACCGGCTTATATTTCGAGTGCGCTTGGGTTAATTTCATTGCATTTAGTGTTATTTTAATATTTCTCCAATTGCTCAGGAAGAGACAAAAAAAAAATATAAATACCGTATTATTTCCATCTGTTGCGTAAACAATTTCGCCGAATACGCAACGTTGATTGCCGTTTCTGGCTTATCGCCTGTTAGCACCCACATTGAAATGCCGGCGGAAAGCATAGCAGCTATCGTCTCTGGAACGCCATCTTGCAACCTATCCTCAATGCCCGTAGCACCCAATATTATTAAATTAGACTCCAGCTTTGCAAACGAGTCACGAATTCGTCGTTCTCTGTTCTCTAATGACATTTCAATTTCTTGATGACGCGCCCACCATTCGGTATACTCAGCAGGGTTAAGTATCCGTTTCGCCATGACCAATATGCGCAAACCATCACGCGCATAGCGATCCAATTGTTGTAGGGTCTTTTCTCGCATTAGACCTAACGTATAAAAAATATACCAAAAACGGATATAAATATGCTAATTTCTTCTTTTCATTCAAGGTCATATACCCTCCGGAGTGTTTGGGGCGCATGGCGCTAATACAGGCATAATGGAGCTGTCGGCACCTTTTGAATAAAGTATGATTTCCTGCGTTCCAGTGCGACGAACAACGATGGACATGCACTTGCGGTTCGAATCGAAAGGTAAAATCTTTAGAACTTCATATTCTATAATACCTGCGTTGGCAATGCTAACTAGTATATGATTTGGACTACGATTGACCAAACAACAGTCATAGCTGTAGGCAGCGTTCACCAGCGCAAGCTCATCTGGACTCTCGGCTTCATAAAACGGTCTTCCGTCGGCCGTTTTGATTGGTTGTCGGTTCTTTGTTTGACTGGCAAATGTATTTTTATTTAGGAAGATATAAAACTGCGTATATACATATATATGTATGCATACTTAGATTACTAGGACTTACTTTATTTTGTTGGAAAATTTTTTCGCTTGTGCTTTTACATTAAGAAACGAGGTAAGGCTTGTTATTTTTGAATTTATCACTGCTTTTGCTCGCCCCGTTTGTGCTATGCTATTGGAAATTGATTTAATTTTCAATGGAGGCGAATCAGAAGTAGGTGTAGTCTCTGCAGAGCTGTTTATCGGCGATAAAGATGGAATATGTGTCCGCGACGGCAAAATATAAGAGAGGTTTGGGGGCGGCGATGGTGTTACTGAACGCGATTCGGCTAAACGAGTATAACGATCAGGGGGTATAGCAGGCGCCAAGTTATTATACTCTGCCGCTATAGATGATGAAGACGAATCTGTTTGAGTTATATTTTGAAGTGGAGTTCGATTGTCCTTTAAACCTTAATCAATCAAATTATATAAGCAAAAATATTAAACAAGCATTGAAACTTACTTTCCAGCACTCCTGAATCACTCTTGCTCGCTCCTTGAACCTCCATTATGCCACTGGCATTCATCAAATCATGATGGGGTGTGGCGCTTACAATCACAGTATTGCACATTGCTAATACCAAAAGAAATTCTTGAAGTCGTTGCGCATTTGGCGATAAACAGTGGCCAGAGTTTATTACTTCTAGCATATCATTCATCAATGTGGAATTTGATATTAACGGTGGCGCAGGCGTGCCTGGCTTTGAATGCAATTTTTCCAACTCAGAAGGCGGGTGATTGTAGTCAATGCCATTGACAATGCATCGCCGAAACAGCATTTTATTTTCAGTGAGTGTTCCTGTTTTATCTGAAAATATATGCTGTATTTGGCCCAATTCTTCTGTAATGTTCATTGCGCGGCATTCTGTCTTTTTATTTGTATCCTGGTCGTACAAGTCAATATTGTTGTGTATGTGGTACACTTGGAGGATTTTGCATAATTCGATTGTAACGTACAAAGACAATGGAATCATCACCTGCAATATTATTATGTACGTCCAGAAAGTCAAAAGGCCTTCATAACTGGGGTTAACGTCAAAAGGTAGATATGGTACAGGAAAATGCTTAAAAGAGGTTAACCACATTTTGCAGCCAACAGCACCCACAATGCATAATATCAATAAAATTATCACACACCTGAAAGAGAGAGAAAATCATAATTAAATTACTACTGTTTTATTTAAGTTTATAAAACATGGCACAAATGGCACTTACAGCCGTATTCTAAAAAAATCGCAAACCTTAGCTCATCACTGCTGTGATTTTTACTGTGCCTCCAAGTTTGCTGCTGCAACAAATAAGCCGCTAAGCTAAGCTTTTGTGTATTTTCCTAGCACTTAAAATCGAATTTTTGTGGCATATTTTGGGACGCACTAGAAATTACAACAGTGATGAGCTAAGTTTTGTGACCCTGTTAGAAAAGAGGGGTTAATTTAAAACCGTAGTCGTTTTACATATCGCACACCATCTTCAAAAGAGGCACAAATGATTTAACGCAATTAATGCAAAAACAGGTATTTAAAGTAGTTTTCTAGTTAGAGAATATAATTACGGAGAAAAAATATTTGCATTAAGTGCAGATAAATCCTACGAATTGATTTATGCATAAAAATCGGCCTGGTGTGCGATATGTAAAACGACTACCGTTTTAAATCAAGTGTATTTATTTAAAAACAAAAAGAAGAAACAGTTAGGTTAATGTAGTTGCCTCACTTGGACGGTAACTGAGGCAGGGTCATTAAAAACTTGGATCGATGGTGTTTAGACCGCAGCCTTGCAAAAGCTGGACAGTCCCACAGCAGCTGCGAAAGTTAGAATCCGGTAGAATATTTAGAGTAGATATTTACCCCCTTGTCGACGTCGCGCAAATCAGCAGCAAATCGAATTCTCCTCAGTAGGTGGCAGCTATCTCTGCCTGGAAAACTCATAAAGTGATCTGGAAGCCTAAATTTTAGGTTTGGAGTTTTTTTCAGCACAAATTGACCATGTTGTGATTGACGGAAGGCATGTTTCTAGTATTTTAACGTCGAAAAGGTGCAGTCACAACAGATGGCCAGGCCAATGCATTCGACTCTCACACCTGCTCTCAGAGAGCACTCTTCAACAAACCGATATATGCGAGCAGTGGAACCACATTTCCCGTTCATTAAGTAACGCCCCCGAAGAAGTAGTCGAATTTCAGCGAGCCCGAAAGAACAACTGGTACGATGAGGAGTGTCAGGAAGCTGCAGAGAAAACAGATGCCGCATACATGGCCACGCTGCGATCGGGCGCAACGCGAGCCTTGTGGGACCATTCTAGGGAGCTGAAGAGGGAAGCGAGACGTATTTGCCGCATTAAGAGAGAGGCCGCAATACGTGAGTGCGAAGAGCTTGAGATGCTGGCCGACAGGAAGAACGCCCGAAAATTCTACCAGAGGGTTAGGCGACTTACGGACACAAGAACAACAATCGCGACCTAGTGACCGATGTCCAGAATGTACTTAAATTGTGGAGGGAACACTTTTACAACCTACTGAATGGTAGCAGCGCTGAAAGTAGTGAAGAAGACGAACCCGAGTCCCCAGTCGATGATGATAGAGTAGCTGTCCCGCCACCTGACTATGACGAGGTACGAATAGCGATTTCGCGGCTGAAAAACAACAAAGCTGCTGGAGCTGACGGCCTGCCAGCCGAGCTATTCAAGTACAGCGGCGAGGAGCTGATCAGCTCGTATGCAGAACATACGACTGGAATTTAAGTGTGCTCTGCCTAATCCACAAGAAAGGCGACGGCGACAAGAAAAACTACCGTGGAATCAGCCTTCTAAGCACAGGTTGTAAGGTCTCATCGAGTGTATTGTGCGAAAGACTGAAGCCCACCGTCAACGAACTGGTTGGACCTTATCAGTGTGGCTTTAGGCCCGGCAAATTCACCATAGATCAGGTATTCGCAATACGTCTTTCTCAAATGTCAAACGTTTGAAAATGATTTGATATTGATTTGAAAATTACAGATTTCTCAATAAAAAGGGGAGTTTGATCTCCATTTGAGAATATGGTTAACTCTCAAATCAATTGCAAAGGTTATTTATCAATTGTACTTCAAATGTGGAAATAAAATTTATTATAGGAAATGTATATTTCATATTTATTTTTTCTTCGCGATGTACATATATATGTACATAACAAAAGAAACAATTAAGATAAAGTAATTTATAATAAACTAGAGTGCCAGTTGCTGTCGAAATTAGACAGTTTTTCTAGTTCTAGAAGCCTTGGAGGTTTTCTAACTTAACACGTAGCAAAACTTTTACGGTACAAATTAACTAACCGGAAAATCTTCTGCTAAAACGTAACTAAACTTTTTTTTTATCTGAGAAGGTCTTTAGAGGACTTCGGCAGGACTTGGAATTGACCCGATACATTCAAGTTTATCTATAAATGTCAATGATATGATACATATCGATAGTTCGACGAATTTCAAGAACACTAAAATTCGATAACTCAACAAAATTCGTTAACTCGACCAATTTCGATAACTGTGAAATTCGATGGTTCGATAAATTTCGATAACTCCAAAATGTAAAAACTTTGGATACCTTTATAAACTTTTACTTTTGACATATCCACATTTTTCGAAAACTATCTAAACATTTTGATAACTCGCTACACTCTGTTAAGACGATTAAATTCGATAAGCAGTGATAAATCGATAAGCTTATATAACCTTGAAATTTCGATATATTTTGGAAATTCCATAAACTTCGCTTCGTTGAACCAACCAATTTTAGTAGATCAATAACACAGGTTTACAAAAAAAAAGCTTATGCATATTAAACCAAACCTATATATCCCTATGTTATTCGACACGCTTATCAACATATGATGATAACATGATATGCATACACTTTTTTTTTGTAAACCTGTGTGATTATCGATAACTCTGTAAGTTGAACGAACTCCACGCATTACGACACCTCGATAAATTTCGTCAAATCTATAAATAATGATAATTCAATAAATATCGATAGCTTGATACATTTCTTTAACTTGACAAATTTCGTTAGTCCCACACGTTTTTATAGCTCGACAACTATCCGTAAATTTGGACAATTAAGTTTATTTGTCTACAAATTTCGACAACTCAGTAAACATTGATCAGTTTGAATAATTCGACACGTTGCGATAACTTAATAAGCATGGATAAATTTCGATAATTATAAATTTCGATTATTCGATAAATTTCAGTAACGTTTATGGCTGATTTTATTTCGATTCCTATTGGAAAATTTCAACTCTGTTAACCTAATTCTTATTTATTTCTCATTGTCTCCATTTTCGCCTTTATCTCATTTTTCGTCTTTATCTTCACTTTTGCCTTTTTTTTTTGACTTCATCGTTATCATTTATTTCTTCATCTTCATATTTATCTTTATTTCAAAGCTTAATTTCAAATGTGAAGTGAAACAACATGCGAAACATGTCAAATTGAACATGTTGCAGCAACATCTATACACAAATACGAAAATGTTTAAACGACGGTTTTGTTAAACCATAAAAACTCTGCTCATCTACGGAAAAATGCCTTTCCAACGGTGTTCTTGGTTTTAAAATCGGTTCGGTAAAATCGCCAAACGAACGGAGACAAAATTTATGTTAGCGTATTAAGATATAGATTCGTCTTGAAGAGATGCAGCTTCTTCAATCCGCGCTAACATCAAATCCACTATTTGTGGGCTTTCTCTTTGAAATTTTTTTTTTATTCATTGTTTTTTTGTTCAATTCATCTTAAATGTATTCTTACAATTTTTGATTGCGCATTTTGATATCGTTTGACACTTGCCATCTTTTTTCAAATCAACCTCAAATGAATTTCAAATGTAAAATTGGAACTACGTTTTCAATTTGAGAATCATTTGATATAAAATTGAGAAATACATTTTTCTCAAATATTTGAAACTGTGTTCGCTGGGGTGCATGCATCATCACTTATACAGAATATGGTCAGATGAACGCATGCCCGACGACTGGAATTTAAGAAGTGTGCTCTGCCCCATCCACAACAAAGGCCATTCGCCCCAACTCCCGGGGGTCAGCCTTCTAAGCATAGGTTACAAGGTCGTATCGAACGTATTGTGTGAAAGACTGAAGCCCACCGTCAATGAACTGATTGGGCCTTATCAGTGTGGCTTTCGACCTGGCAAATCCACCATACCCGAGGTGTTCACAATACACCAAATCTTGGAAAAGGCCTGGAGAAAAGGATCGCCACTCACCACCTTTTTGTCGACTTTAAAGCTTTCGATAGCACTAAAATGAGTTACCTATACGCTGCGATGTCTGAATTTGGCACCCCTCGAAATTGATACGGCCGTGTAAAATTACGTTGAGCAATATCTCCAGCTGCGTCAGAATTGGGAAAGACCTCTCCGAGCTGTTTGCCACCAAACGGAGTTTAAGACAGGGTGACTCCCTTTCATGTGATTTCTTTAATCTGATGTTGGAGAAGATAATAAGAGCTGTATAACTGAACTGCTCAGGAAGAATTTTTTACAAGACCCTGAAATTGCTGACGTACGCCGATGACATCGACTTCATCGGTAACAAGAACCGTGGAGTCTGCCCTGCCTTTTCCCAGGTTGGATAAGGAAGCAACGCGAATGACACGGTGGTCAACGATGACAAGACGAAGTATCTTCTGTCATCAAACAAACAGTCAGGGCATTTGCTTCTTGGTAACCACGTCACTGTTGACAGTCATAATTTCGAGAAAATGGAGAATTTCGTTTACTTGGGAACCAGCATTAAAACCGACAATAATGTCAGCATTGAAATTCAATGCAGAATCACTCTTGCCAGCAAGTGCTGCTTTGGACTGAGTAGATTAAGGAGTTAAGTCCCCTCTCGACGTACCAAAGCCACACTCTATAAGTCACTCATCATGCCCGTGTTGGTGTATGGCGCAGAAGCATGGATAATGACAACATCCGATGAGGCGGCTTTTGGAGTATTCGAGAGAAGGATTTTGAGGAAGATTTACGGGCCTTTGCGCGTTAGCGCCGGAAGTACCGCAGTCGATGGAATCATGAGCTGTATGAGCTTTACAACGACATGGACATAGCGCAGCGAATTCAAATACAGCGGCTCCGCTGGCTTG